TGCTTACTAGTGACATCAATAATTGCACAAAAACGACATTTCTTGCCCGCATTTGATAAAAAAGGAAAACTATTTCACATCATTTTAATTATCTGCAAATGCTGACAGACGACGCACGCGAAAAGTTGAGAGTTGGCCATCTTTCTGCGTTGCGTTGACGTTAGCGTTGCCAATTTTAAGCTACGTGGACAGCTACATTTGAATTCAGTTATTCATAGTCAGCTGTTGAAGCGACGCCAACGCCAACGCAAAGCCAAAGCTGTATGTAAATAGGCGGCATACACAGTGCGTCTGACTCGAGAGTCGGTTTGGATACCTTTTACTGAATCATGATTTCACATGGCATTGAAGCGGTGGGACAATTAGCGCGTTCTACAACGTTTAGGATTTGCATTTCTGGCAGGATTTAGTCCAAAGTCGTTCCAGTACGCCGCATCAACATAAGGCCGGTCCACATAGAACTTTCGCGTTGGCTTTGGCTTTGGCGTTGGAAAGTTGAGAGTTGGCCATCTTTTTGCTTTGTGTTGGCGTGAGCGTTGTCGAATTTTGGCTATGTGGACGGCTGCATTTGAATTCATGTTCATGTATTCATAGTCAGCTGTTGAAGCGACGCCAACGCCAACGCAACGCCAAAGTTCTATGTGGACGGGCCTATAAGGTTTATTAAAGGCAAAAACAGCTGTTCCTGTAAAACCTGCAAATCGCGAAGTACGGGAACAGGCTAAATTAAACAAAACACCCATCAAACAGTCACTTTATAAAATAGGCCCCAGGTATCATATGATCGTCTGCGTAGCAGCGCCCTAAGGCCATTACAATTTACATTCATATCTTTGGCGGAAGCAGTCGCCGTAATCTTTGTTGTGGATAACTTTTGATCGGAAATCTTTCCAGCCTGTATTGGGAACTTATGCAAAAATCATCAAACTAATTTCATCAATTTAATTATAAACACACATATTGACTCACCTGGTGCCATTAACGTTTCTGCAGAGGGTTGAGAGGAGAGATCAATGAACGCAAACAGTGCAAATGCCAATACGGACAATGGCAAGTGACCACCGTTGGCTGAGACAGCTGCTTTTTTCGCAATGCACTTAAGGATCTAGCTTTAAGAAAATGCTGGTTAATAATTTAAAGTTTGCACTATCTTTGTAACACTATTTAATCGTTATTTATTATATTAATTTTGCACTTTTTCGCGACACGGCGCGTCAACATAAATTAGGCCAACAACCAAAACACAACAGAGAAAAACTAACGAAATTTGACAGTTTAATGACAGACTTGTTGATTAAATGAAAGCTGCGAGCGGCGCTGCTTGAGTTGTCAAAATATGTCCCCTTGGCGACATCTGCATATGAACAGTGTGAAGTGAAACTGCAGGGTGCTCCAGCGTTTTGAATAAATCAGAGAACGTCTATGAATGAGAAGGCGCATTTTCTGTGACCGTTTTTGTTGCGCAAAAATTTTGGGGTGCAGTCGGCCAAATATACCTCACGTCGACGAGTGCACCACTTGACCGACGGTGTCGGTAGAGAAGTGCCGGCTGCCACCATACCAAAAATTTTTCCGTCCCACCACACTTCGAGCAGTTCAAAGCAAAATGAAAAAATAAGAACAAAATGGAAAGAGGAACAAAAATCTATTAAGCAGAGGGGGTGCTTGCGGAGGCAGGCGCGTGCTTGTGTCGGATCAAAACAAACTCTAAAATAAAAATGGTAGTCGGAACAAGTGTACAAAGAAGCGGGGAAACGGGGAAAGGAGCGGGCTTTTGTACATTTGCTTGTTTGCCGAAAATATGATATTTGCGTGAAATCGATTTGCTGGTTGCAAATTCATTTTTCCAAACATGTATGAATTTTTCTGTTTCAGCAAAACATGTATGCATTTTTCTATTTCAGCTAAGTTGATAAGATTTTCTGAGGGAAATAAGATTTTCTGAGGGAATATTTTCCACAATCCATACGTACATACATATATCTATCCACATATATATATACGTACATACATACATATATCTATATATTGGAGCATTTCATGAAATTTCATCTATGTATACATGCGCAATAGGCTGGCTCTTTATAAGTTTCGCGATACATATGTATATACATAAATATGTACAAACGCGTATATATGTATGTATGTACATATGTCAATCACCTACAAATGAAAATCTGTTTTGCATTGACATCGGTCCGTTTAAATACCGTTATTAGAGTCTGATTGGTTTTTAAGTATAAATGCGCGAAAATGAAAGATAATAAAGAAAAAATGCTAACGTCTTTCATACGGAAAAGTTTTCCGAGCCGTTCGGACGCGTTTTTTGAGCGAATTTTTTTTCCTGACTTATCGCGCGCCCTAAATCGACGAGATGTCCAGCATTCGCCACTGCGTAGCCCGGGACTGCCCCATCACCAGTTTGGAGGCCAAACTCTTTGGATGGCCACGGGATAAGGAGATGGCCCTGAAGTGGAGGCAAAACCTCCGGATTTCGCCAGACGCCCACATTGCCCCAACCAACACCTTCATTTGCGGCGCCCACTTCCCTCACTTCGCCGTTGGAGGCCAGCGACTGAAGCGTGGGGCGGTCCCAACCCTCAACCTTGGTAAGTTGTTTTCATTAAGTTTAGTGCATGAAGTTTTTTAGTGAGTGCAGTGGACATATGTGTTTAGGAATATGTATGTACGTATGTATGTATATATACAATACAATGAGTGCATTCCAAAATAGTGAATATGCATACATATGGGCTATTCCATGGTGCTGGTGAAAGTTATTATGCTGTCAGCCATTGTTATTTCTGCTTGTTTTGTGAAATGAGCAAACGTTTGTGAAGACATTTATAAACGCGTTTTACTTAATTAATTGATTAAACGAATGCGAACCTTTTAAGGATAATATATTTGTGGAAATAAAAGTGATAAGTGTAGTGTTATAATAAAATATAGTGATAGTAGGCGGGATAACAAATAATAGTATCCCCACCGAGTTTCATAAAAAATTCAGCATACTTCGCGAGGAATAGCAATTAATATTTTACGTGGAATGGCCCATATGTATGTATTTTGCTTGTTTGTGTGTGTACATATGTATGTCATTTGCTTCTTTTTGTGTGTTCAAAAATTTTAAACGTGTGTGAATGTGTAAATGTGTGACTGGTGGGGCAGGTCCTTGTGCCTAGTGAAAGTGATTGGCCCGTAGTCATAGTCAAAATAAAGTCGACTTTAAAGTTAGTTGCAGCTTTTTTGACAGATATCCCATTGAAAATTATGTCAAAAAGCTGCAACTAACTTTAAAGTCGACTTTATTTTGACTATGACTACGGGCCATTGGGCCGTATGAATAAAAATAAGCAATTGCTTTTTCTTAAAATTTCAGATCATTTACTCAATTTATTCAAACAAAATTGAAGTAAAAGGTATGAAATTTTAAGAAAAAGCAAATGCTTAGTTTTTATTCATACGGCCCATTATGTATAATTATTATGCATATGTATATTGTATGTTTATTGATTAATACTGATGTATTATGTATATTGAGGGAGTGGGTTAAAATTAAGTCGGTACTTAACGTTAGTTGTAGTTTTTGCCATAATTTTTAATGGGTTTTTCGTCAAAAAATCTGCTTTAGTGTGTCCATATGTTTGTACAGATATGTATATGTATGTACATATGTATATCGTCGTTTAAAGTACAAAACCACGTATCAACAAAATGCAAACCCGCGTATGTGATTGTGTGTGATTGAGCCAAAAACGACGATACGCGGTTTTGTACCTTAAACGACGATATGTATGTATAGGTGCAAATGTACATTCAGCTTAAGTAACCAACATTTTTGGATACCGTGAATATTTAAAAGTTATCTGAAGAAATGCTCGTATATTTATTATAATAGGGAAGCGAACTGATTTTAGAAATTTTTGGCCTTATTCATAAAAAATAAAGTAGGTGTAAAGAGCTTTATAAAATGACGTTTTCATACATTTTTCAGTTTATAAACCTTTTTTAAAGCTACTTTATTTTTTATGAATAAGGCCATTTTTTGACTAGAATTTTTTTTTATAAGCAAATATGGTACATTCAGTGATGTGTGTTTCGTAATATGTACCATATATAATTAGGACCAGATGAAGATGAAGATGTCGTTCTGCAGCATTCGATTGAGGAGGCAAAGGGGTACCGCAGTTGCTGCGTTGAGGGCTGCTTCCCCCATGACGACCAGACCCTATTTGGCTTCCCGAGGACGGAAGTTGCCTTCAATAATTGGGCCTTAGTTTGCAATTTGAAAGTGTCATTTCCGCCAAATACAAAAATTTGTATTTGCGAACGTCATTTTCATAAAAGATATTTAACTAAAACGCGACTTTTAAAGGGGGCTTTTCCCCTATTCAATTTGCCACCTCAAATTCCGAGTGAGCCAAATAGCTGCTCCTCCGAATTAATCCTTCAGCCTGTTAAGCATGTTTACATGCCGAAAAAGTCGGAATGCGACTTGACACTCGAGCAATTCGAACAATTCTCTGATTTAGAAGTCAAAAGACAGCGTTTTGATGTTAGCGGCACTGAGGAGGGCCTTAGCAATGAACCTGGTTTTTGCGACCATGAGCCTTTCGCTCGGGCTGCGCGTATTTATCAGGGTAACGCGAAAAAGCAGGACATACGTATTGAAGAGTTGCAAAACGAAAACGTCGCGTTAAAGGAAGAAATTGCTGATTTGAAAACACACGCGATAATAGCTTCGCCCGATTGTAGCGATGACGCTTTAAATTTTGCTAGAATGATAGTACGGTCGGTTAGTTCCTACACGGACACGGAAAAAACTTTAGCTCAAAATATTAATTACATGTCGACTAAAGCCTATAATTTTATGCGCGATGACTTGAAGTTTTCACTTCCACACAAAAAAATCGCTTTTGCGATGGCGCCCTATTAAATATGTATCGCCGGGTATAGATTTTAAAGTAATAGAAAATTTAAAATATGTCGTTTCTGAAATGTCTCCCACCGAGCGGTTTTGCGAAATTTTATTCGACGAAATTTCTATTAAAAAAGATCTCGTTTATAATAAAAGTAGAGATATTATTGACGGTTTCGTGGATATTGGCGACGGTAATCGCGACCTCAATGTCGCCGACAAATGTTGTTTTTTCATGGTGAAAGCCATCGCGGCGGATTGGAAATATGTCCTTTCCTATTATATGGTTAAAGGCGGTATGTCGGCTTCAAATCTTTTAGAATCCTTAACGGAAAATATTAAAACGGTTGAAGGCCTCGGCTTAAGCGTCAAAGCCATCGTCTGCGATCAAGGCCCAACCAACGTTCGTCTTTTTAAACTTTTAAATGTCTCCGCGGAAAATCCGTTCTTTATTTTCAATTCAAATAAAATTCACTGTCTTTACGACTATTGCCACTTAATTAAATCGGTTCGGAATAACTTATTAAAGCACGATTTGAAAACTGTCGATGGCATCGCGAGCGGTAAAGTCATTCGTCAATTATATTCGGTAGATAAAGCGAATGTAAACTTCAAGGTATGTCCTAAGCTTACAGCTTCGCATATTTACCCCAATAATTTTGAAAAAATGAGCGTATCCCGAGCGACGCAGCTATTGAGTAATTCGGTAGCTGCAGGCATTGATATGGCGCAGAAACAAGGGTTGCTAGGGTCTGATGAATACACCCTCAAATGTGCCAAGCCGACTCAGTTGTTTGTAAAGCGCATGAATGATTTGTTCGATGAGCTCGATTGTAAGAGATTAAATAATAAAAACCCATTGAAGGGTCCAATTTGGCGCGATTCTGTAGACAAGCTTAACAGGCTTAAGGACCACATTAAATTCATTTCGTCGATTAAACTTCCCAATAATATAAATTCCTTGTGTTTTGCTGGTTTTATTTTAACCATTAATTCTATGATTAATTTAAGTCAAGATATCTTTGAAAATTGCAAAGATTTAAATTTTATATTGTTGGGAAAATTGAATCAAGATGCCCTTGAGAACTTTTTTTATAGAATCCGCGCAACTCAGGGCATTAATACGCATCCATCGGGCCATGAAATTCAGTACATTGTTGCTCGCTTAATTTCTATGAAAATTTTGAGACGGAAATTCGATAAAAAAGGTACAAACTGCGAAGATGATGAAGATTTGAACCTGGATTGGAATATTGCTGATGAAGATTCCTTGAAAGACAATTTAGGACCTTCAGAGCAACTTGCGATGGATGTCGATATTCCAGAAGAGCAATTTTCTTGGGATATTGACATTCCTGAAGAGCACTTTGCTCTCGCGGAAGGGGCATCAGCAGAAATCCAGGTGCAAAGGTACTACGCAGGTTATACCATTTACCAAAAATTATTGTCAAAGTCGCAATGTAAAACTTGTATTGACGCGATGGTGAAAACTCCAGGCGAACTGAAAGACTATTCCGAAGCCTTGATCCGAGCTAAGAATTATAAAGAATGTCCTGATGTGAGACTAATTAATCCAACTGAGTGGGTATTTGAAATATTGCGCATGCAGATGGCATGGTATAAGCATTTATTTCAGAAATATGCTCATTCAGTTGGAATTCATGAACAAATTGTTAACGCGCTTATTAAAAAAAACAAATGAAGAATTTTCGGAATGGTTTTCAGAAGCCGGAGATTGTTTTGAGCACCGAAAGCAACTTCTGAATTCCATGGTAACCGTATTACTGTTTAAAAACGCGAAATGGTTGGCTGGAGATGAAGCCCAAGCAAACATGGAGCGTCTTAAACAGAATAAATTAAAAAGATTAAATGTAAAAAAAAAGTAAATGACTGAACGAAATGGCATTTTCAATTGCAAGCTAAGAGCCCATGAAATTGGAGGCAACATGCGACGGCAGCAGCTTTTTTTCTTCTATTTCCAGATTTTTTCTTCTATTTTCAGATTTTTTTCTTCTATTTTCAGATATTTTCTAATAAAATTGAATATGAAATCTAATTTTTATTTTTTTTCTTCTATTTTCAGATATTCCCTTGGGTTTTTTCGTATATTTTCTTTTTTTCTAACATTTTAAATTTTGTAGTAATTAACCGTAGTAGTAGTAGAGTAGTGCATGCCTTTTAAGTAGAATAATATACCTACATACATATATATGTTGATTGAGTTAGTAGTTACATATGTATGTAGGTGGTTAATTTTCACTTGCACACACGAGCCAAGTTTTTAAACTATTACCGTACGATTTCAACCGAGTGGATTGAATCGTGGTATTAAAAACTGGTGAAAAATAAAAATTATCTTAAATGATCGTGTGAGAATTTGTCTTCATATGAGAAGGCATTTTCGTAATTCGTGTCCAACCTAAAGTTGTAGAAAAATAATTTTAAATTGTTTCATTTCAGGATTTATTTTTGTTATATTTCTTATTTTCTTTTAGATTTTTAAACTCTGAATTTATCTGTATGTACATAGTTTAAGAACTTATATTGAAAAATAAAATAAAAATATTACCTAAAATAACTTAAATTTGTCAACATAATTGTATGTATATTACATAAGTAAGTATATTTTTACAATTAGTTGATCGCATCTGAATGTATATATGTATGTACATACTTACATATGTACATATGTACCCAATACACATATGTACTCCAAAATCATTTATTGATAACGTTCTTGCACATGCACATAATATTACATATATGTATGTACATACATACTAACTATCTTCTTATTTGGGGCTGACAAACTTTAACTTAAGAGTCGACTTTATTTCGTCTACTAATATGCCCAAATAGTTTTGGAGTCAAATGAAAATGCATTTTCTACGCATACGTATGTACATGCTCCATTAATTGATAACGTTTTTGCATGCATATATATGTATATGCATATTACTGCCAAAAAAACTACGAACATGCATATAAATGTACATATGTACAAATCACGGCAGCATACATACATATATATGCACATAATTACACGTATACTCAAATACAACAATAACTATTTCATTCATAAACGCATTGCATATTTCTCAAGGCCAAGTAAATTCATTCATAAAAATAACCGCAGCACATCTCCCCGCAAATTCATCATCAACAAGCGCAACTTTGTCAATCCGACACAAAAATTCTAAAATCTTAAAATGAAGAAATCTCGGCCAGCTAAGTGAAAATTGGCAATTATTTCTGTATATCCAGTAAAATAAGTTATCTCGAATCTTGGCAATTTTTGGTAATTTTTGGTAATTTTTGACAAAACACTCTATTTCTCTGTTCCATACCAATATTTCAATCATTAACTAGTATTTTAAAGTGTCATTTTAATAAACATTAAATAAAAGTGTATGTTTTCTGCAGCAAAATACATTAATTTTTTTTTAATAAAATCAAAACTTGTAAAATCACAAACATATGTGGTTTTATCGGAAGTTCACAGATGTAACGTGGCAACTTAGCTCGTTTTCATATTTTTCGGTCCGAAATTGTAGAATTTTTGTCCATGCCGCGCCACATGTCGATTCCCAGAAATTGAATAATTTGTGTGTGGATGGGAGCGGCGAGGGGAAGACGAAAGCCGACCAATCGCACATTTGTATGTACATATATATGTTACATACATACATTACATATCTACATATTTACAAATGAATGTGTACATACGTACATATTTATGCGTTTGGCTTTTTGCATGAATAGAAAATTTGATTGCAGAAATAATTATATATGTGTATGTGCATAAGTAAATATATACATACATACATACATATGTTTCATTAAATTGTAATGAAATAGTTTTATTGAAAAAGTTCCACTTTACATGACTTTAGATAATTGCGGAAAAAAGTCGAAAAAATTGAATTAGAAAATCTCATCAACATAGCTGAAACAGAAAAATTCATACATGTTTGGAAAAATGAATTTGCAACCAGCAAATCGATTTCACGCAAATATCATATTTTCGGCAAACAAGCAAATGTACAAAAGCCCGCTCCTTTCCCCGTTTCCCCGCTTCTTTGTACACTTGTTCCGACTACCATTTTTATTTTAGAGTTTGTTTTGATCCGACACAAGCACGCGCCTGCCTCCGCAAGCACCCCCTCTGCTTAATAGATTTTTGTTCCTCTTTCCATTTTGTTCTTATTTTTTCATTTTGCTTTGAACTGCTCGAAGTGTGGTGGGACGGAAAAATTTTTGGTATGGTGGCAGCCGGCACTTCTCTACCGACACCGTCGGTCAAGTGGTGCACTCGTCGACGTGAGGTATATTTGGCCGACTGCACCCCAAAATTTTTGCGCAACAAAAACGGTCACAGAAAATGCGCCTTCTCATTCATAGACGTTCTCTGATTTTGAGTTGCGGTCGAGCAAATATACCACCCGCCGACGAAATATACCACTCGTCGACGAAATGCCGGCTGTCACCACCAGTGTTGCCATTTTAGCCGTTTTCCGGCTAGTTTTAGCAGGTTGCGATAGCAAACAGCCGGAGAAATTTCGATTTAGCCGGCAGCCGATTTGTTAGCCGTTTTGCAGAAAAAAATTAGCCGTTTTTAGCCGATTTTGCTATTTGCCTTGTTTTCTTAAATTTCAAATATGTATGTTTCCATTTTTGACTAAGCGACCCAAAATCTGTTAGAAATGGCTACTAGCCTTATTGTGGAGAAAATTTTCATGTCAGGCAGGATTTATGAAATTGGGCCGATTTCGCTTATTTTTATTTTAAACGAAGAAAGGGTTTTCTTTATAAAATGTTGGTTATAAATGTCTTAATTTTAAGTGTGAAGTTTTATTCGCAAACTTAGAAAATAAGAAATTGTTTCACTGTTAAGACTCTTAAGATTGGATATAGTGCCAAAAACAGAATAAATATTACACGTAGATATTGTCTTCCCAGATAGCGCATATTCAATTCTGCCTAAATTAAAAAACATAATTTTTGCCTACTCCCAAAGGTTTAAGGTAAGGGAAAAATTTTTTTTTTAAGCACTATATACACATATGTATTTTTTTAAACAAACTTTTTTGCTGAGAACTTATTTAAATTCCAAAAACCGCATGCCAACTTGAATTAAAGGAACCAACACTGAATTGAGTCAAAATGAAAATAAAAGAGCACAAATTTCTATGTAAAGCAAAACTCTCTGGGAATCCTACGAAGCATCTGCCGGTCATATGACCGGTCATCTAAATGGGAGATCTGCAGTCTTTTGGCATCATATTTTACATCAGAATTGAAGGGATTGCTGAAAAATCTGACCAGTTTTTTGGTGTAACTGTGATTTTGCATCCCTTGTCAACATATGGCCTCGGTTGATGTTAACTTAAGGTCGTTGTTTTACGTTTTACTGCCTTAAAATTGAAGGGAAATTTTTACAGCGTTTTTTATGTGTAGTGGTTTCTATTTGAGTGTATTGAGAATCGGTCAGTCTGAAAAGGCCTTGTAGGGAAGACAATAGGTTTGTTCGTCGAAAATCCATCGAGAATTATCACTCAAAATATCAGATAGTAAGAAAAAATGATCCCAAATTCTCTCTCGTGCAGAGAAACTTGCAATTTTCTGTACGAACGCAAATCTGCAAGTTTTTCTGCCAGCTAGTGTCCACGGTTGCATTTCAAACAAAAGAAATTTGTATAGAATTTTTAAAATTCTTTCAGAGGGGCAAAAAACAGGACCTACGTGTATACATCTTGTCAGTCCGACTTTCTTCAACATACGTTTCAATTTCTTTGTCGGGTTTACTATATCGACTCTGGTTGAGATTGCATTCCGATTAAGAATACAGTTTTATTTTTCCGAGTACCTTTCAAATCATTGGAATTAACTAAATTAATTAAGTAAACAAGTATTAACTTACATTTTTCATTTTAAAACCGCTCCCGTTTGTAAATTTTTAAATTTAACGAACTTGTTTATTCAAATTATCGTCGACAAAAAATCCAACCATGCGCCACAATCATATGTTTTTCCTAATTGCAAATTCTTGCTGGCAAAATTTTTTCCGGCTCGAATTTGTAACTTCTCTCCAAGAAATAGTCTTTTTACTCGTGATTTATTTAAATAAAACATACGAAATTTAGTTGAAACATTTTAGGCGGTTTTATTTGCCAATTTAGCCGGTTCGCCCAAAAAGTTCTGGCAACACTGGTCACCACGGCAAAGATTTTCAATTCCTCCACACTTCGACGAAATTTACCATAGTGAAAAGAAAAATGCAAATTAACAACACGAAAATGAAAAGAAACAAAAAACTGATCAGGACAGGGCAGAGGGGATGCTTGCGGAGGCCGAGGCCTGCTGGTGTCAGATCAAAACAAAAACTAAAATAAAAAATGGAGTTCAGAACGCTAAGTGTAAACAAACAAGCGGGAGACGGGGAAAGGAGCGGGTTTTTTTATATTTGCTTTGCGATTTGGTGATTGGTTTACAATTCTCGATAGTAACATTTGAATAGTACAATAAATTTTTTTTTTAATTGGGACTTGTTGTCAATTTGTCACCATTAATTTCTAAAAATTCAGAAAAAAAATTTCAAAATTTAGATGAAATTTTTTTGAATTTTTCTAAGTTATGTATAAAGTTTGAAAGTTTGACTTATGTGGTTTCGACTAAAGCATGAACCACGTTCTTTTAAAAAAA